GCCCGGGCGTTGGGCGCCTCGCCGCCCACCAGGCCCGACCGCGGCCGGGCGCCTCGCCCCCCGTGCGTGCCGCGGCTTCTGGGAGGCGCCTTTGCTTTTTCTTGGCCTTTTTGAAATTTTCTCTGGTTTGGAGCTTTTCTTGCAGAAATTTTGAGGCGCGAGATGAGGGCACGCGCTGCGCACTGCCCACCCGAGAACGGGCTGGAGATGTGGGATGGTGGGAGCAAAGGCCGGGGAGGGGTTCCTGAAACGCCCCCGTCTCTGGTCTCTGGAGTTGGTCCGACCCCACGACGCCCCGACGTGTGCCAGGCCCGTTCGTGGATCTGGAATCGCCGCCGCACGGCGAGGCCCGCAGGCGCCCAGAGCCCCTCCTGCGGGCTACCTGTGCCAGGGCCCACGCTGGGTAGTGACCTCGATTAGTTCACTTCGCTGGCGCCACACTCCTCTGAGATCAGCCTCAATCTCCTATTAGAGGCGAGAAAACGGAAATTCTTACATTTCTTGCTGAGTTAATGAGTTAGGTCTGAAGCTCAAGTTCTTTCTGGAATATGTGTTGCTTCTTATGGAACAATGGACGTATAAACCCCTATCCCTGCCACCTTTTCAACCCTTCCTCCCACCCCCTCCTGTTGTTTGCAGATGTTTCCAAAGATGGAGAAATGCAGGTTTGGGCAGGACCCCAGGAGGGTCCCAGGATGTGCCCAGAGACACCAGCGTCCTATCATTGAGTGACCTTTCCCCAGCTCTGACCTGGGAGCAGGTGAATGGAGAAAGAGTGACCCTTCCCGGCACTACCTACAAGCCCTCCAGGGCAGTGTTGGAAAAAAATCAACCGGAATACACTGTTTGGAATGGGAATTTGGGAGAATGCATAAATGTGAAAAACAGAGGAAAATACTTTATTTGAATTAAAGGTGTAGTGAATGAATGTTGTGAATGGCCAGACGTTACAATACAGATACGAGCGTCCATACCCAAGGGCAGCCATGCAGAATGCCTTCTCCCTACAGAGTTGAAGTGCTTTTTTCATTTCATTCTCACAGGATGTGAAAAATTCCCAAATGGACTTTCTTTCTTTCTTTTCTTCTTAAGGTCTCTGGCATAAAAGTAATTACCCCCCAAAATTAAGCATAGTTTTTAAAGATTATTTAATGTTTTGAATAGTAAGACAACAAAGTTTCAAAGACTAGACTTATAATTCTTGTGTTTTGTTTTTTAATTCTATTTAAAGTTTAGAAACAGCTGGCCAATGCACTATCTTTTGGTAGTTTTATCAATTTCAACCATTTTTTTTTGTACTTGGTTATTTGGAAGTACTTAATTATTTTGGGGCAAGAGGGCAAAAAGTTTCTGAAGTGGTCTTTTATTATTGTAGCATAACTGTTGCATTAGTGGAAGCTTATCTTTTCCTGGCTAGTGTAATTTTAATATATAAAACAGAGACTTCTGTCGAGATTGCAGATAGAATGCTTATCTATATTTTAAAGAATATGCAGATTTTTGCACTAAATCCAAACAACAATTGACAGAGTTTAGTTGTGATCCTAAGATGTTCTTTCACAAGGTCATAGACTATTCACAGGTGCCAGAAATGACCTTAAAGTCAGCTTCAGCTCTACCTGCTAAAGTCCAAAGGCATGCCTGGCCCTGGAGAGCAGATTTCAGCTGAGCCACGCGGCTAGAGTGAATGTCAGCAAGGCACCCTTACCTGTTGGTGCTTAGTCTCCCAATTTTTAAATGTTTCCCAAGTTACCCTAGGTCTAGGTGACCATAAATCAAGGGGTCTGGGAAGATAGATTGACAGTGGTGTTAAGCACCTATTTCAAAGTTTCATGTTCTCCATTCTAAACAAATTTTGGAATATGCTACTTCAGCTATCTGTGTTGGAAATTCCAGATGCTTCATCACACTTTTATTACATGTATACGGGTATAACACTCCTGTTTTACAGAACCATTACAATTCAAGCCATCTGGTGATTTCAAATGCAGAATTGAATCCAGACTGAGCTTGGGGAATCTTGCTGGAGACTCCACCCATGACACTCACCAGGTGGATCTGGGATTCCCTTTCCAGAGTGCCATGATTCTTCTCCAGAGCCATCCCTTTCTGGCTGGGTCTCGGGAGCTGGTCCTGCAGCTAATCACCTAATTCCCTTGCTCTACAATGGTCCTAATGGAATTTCCTTGGCAGTTACTTTTTTTTTTTTTTTTTTGCAGACCTGTTGCTTCTATTTTTTTTTTTTTTTGATGTAAATTCCATGTAGAGGGAACAAGATAAGGAGTCTATTGGAAACCCCTTGAGTAGAAAAAAGCCTGAATTTATAAACAATCTTACAGGTTGCCATTTGCTAATGATGATGATGACAATGATAATAGTAGCAATAGTAGTAGTAATAATAATAATACCATGGGTGCTTTTCACATGCCCCGTGGGAGACCTTGTTTTAAGTGTCTGCCCTGTGACTTCATGAGCACACCTTTATGCTTTCATAAAGATGTGATATTTTAGGTTGCAAAGCACTAAATTAATGTTAGCTGCTCAAAACTGGTCTTGCCAGTATATACATGAACAAAAGTTAAATAGATACCTTGCTGCTGACTTTCCTCATGGCCATTTTCTCTTGCTGGCCAATAGGAGTGAGTGATGGGCAGTGCTGTTTGACATTGGGCTTGGGTCCCAGCAGGGAAGGGTAATTCAAGGTTCCTTCCAGATGTCAGATCTGGTGATCTTAAGGAAAGGACCCAGGTGGGGAAATACTGCGACCAGCTTTCCTTCCCTTTGGATTACTTTAGTCTGCAGGTTTTCATTCACATGTGGCCATGACTCTGCCAGACAGAGGGCTTTGCAGGGAGATGGTTTTACTGTGTGCAGAGGTAGACTGGGACATGGTGGTAAGCAGCTAAAATGGGAGGGTTACCCAGACAACAAGGGCCTGTGTGAGGTTAAATGAAGGGTTGGAGTACGGAGGGTGGCCTCCTGGCTTGACAGCAGGAGCTGACCAGTGGTAGCACTCCTGGAGAAGGAAAGTTCAGAGGACTTGGACTCAGTAGTCCTGGGGACAGTCTGACCAGTGCTATAATGAGGTCATGTGCACCTGGAAGAGGAGAGCTGTGGACTTTGCAGGAACCAGCCGCAGGTGCAGGGCAGATCCCCTGGGCTGCAGGAGGCATGTCAGGTTGCTGAGCATTTTCCTGCACACGCCTTGTGTCCTTCAACTCTTCCATTAGCTTGTAGGAACTGTTAGCAAGCCCACTCTCAGAGGGGACCTGAGGCAGAGGGCCAGCGAGCATGACACTATGTGGTGGCCCTGTGACTTTGATCTCAGGGGGTTGGTTGGATGAGAAGCTGTGCTGCTCATTGGTCAGAATAGAGCTGAATGGCTTGTAGACAGAGTGTTGGAAGTGCAGCTGAAGGGATCTAGACCCAGCAGACCCCAGAGTTGCTGAAACATCCCCACTGGGATGTGCCTGCACAGAGGAGCCCGTGGCGCCTGGTACTGCCGTATGCCCGCACAGGTTTTGAATTTGAGGTTCTGTTTACTCAGGGCTGGCACATATTGTCTCATTGTGTCATAAAGTGGTCTTAAGTGGTTGATGATTGTCTCCACTTTGCAGGTAAGAAACTTGCTCATTTATCACCTCTTGACCACATGTGGCAGTTTTCCTTAATTTTGATCTTTTAACATTTTTCTCTCCTTTCCAAGCCTTTCTTCATTAAGGTGATAAAACCTTGTCTGCTCTTCAGAGAGATAGTTATTTTCTTTTACAGAAAATAACTTGCCTACCCTTAACATAGTGGAGCTATTTGGCAGTTAGATTGGGATTTTTAAAAGGAAATAAAAAATAAAAGAAAGCTGAAGCAAAAAGGAAGTAATTTATAAATGAAATAAAATGTGTCTGCACTCGATTTCTGGTCCCCTAATTGCAGTAAAGGCATGAAGAGATTGCTAAGGCCCAGGTCTCACAGGGTACACTCCGGCCTGTTGAGTTGGCCCCCAGGGCCACTTCTCCCCACACTGCTCAGTACCTTTGCCTAAGAGCTCCTGATGGCACCCAGCGCCCAGTGCTGCAAGGCCGTCTTCATTGCCCTCTCTCATGAATCCCTCTTCTCTCATGAATCCACGTTCCAGTTTGAAGTCTCCTGATGCCCTAGATCTTGTCCACAGCTGTTTTCCAGGACAAAGGCTATTGACAGTCCTGGGGTATTAGTTTCCTATGACTGCTGTGGCAAATCATCACAGACTTTGGGGCTTAAAACAACACAATTTATTATCTTATGCATCTGGAGCCAAACATCTAAACAGGGTGGGGTCACGGGGTCCTGGGAGACTCTGAGGGAGGCTCCACTCCCTGCTCTTGGTGGTTGGTCGGGGTGCCACGTTCCTGGGTTCCAGGCCCCACACCGTTCCTGGGCTCTGCCGTGGCTGGCGCAGTTCCTTCCTGGACTCTGCCCTCCCTGTGAGTGAGTGTGCTCAGGTGATGCAGAATGACTCCCCATGTCGAGATCCTTAGTGGCAGTCAGAGGGCAAGGAGATTCTGGGGGTCAAGGTGTGGATTTCCTGCCCCTCACAGTTCCAAGTCTGATTCCTTCTGGCCCAGATTACCTGGGGCACTGTGATGCCTTCCTGGGTGGGTGTGTCTGCCAGGTTGGCCTCCCTGCAGGGAGACCTCAGTGGGTGGTTCCATAAGGTGGAGGAGAAGGTGTACCTAAGGGCAGCAGAGTAGACAGGAATGGCTCTGGATGCGGTGTCCGATAGCACTGCGCCACAGACCCTCGTGGTTTTGCAGGTGAGACGGCTGCAGCCCGAGGTCTGCAAATCCTGTGGCATCGCTACCTCTGGGCTCCTCGTCACCGTCGCCCTCGGTGCCAACTTTCTGTCTCACTAACAGGCAGACCCTGGTGTTTTCATGAGGTAAAACCTCAAGTAAGAAGTACCTGGAGTAAAGGCTGGATGCTCAGTTCGTGAAAATATAATGAGGCTAAAGAAAAAAAGTTGAACTTCAGGTTAGAAAAATGAGGGAAAGAAAAATGTGAAAAGAAAAGTGAGTGAAAGCAGGCAGAGGCAGTGCCACCAGACACAGCCCCAGACAGCCCGGGAAGGCAGGTTGTGCCTCAGGTGTCTTGATCAGGTCTCTTATAGTTTGGATGTGAGGTGTCCCCCAAAAGCTCACGTGTGAGGCAATGTGAGGGGGTTCAGAGGAGAAATGATTGGTTCTAAGAGTCCTAACCCAGCCAGTGAGCTAATCACCTGGTAGTAGGTACTGAGGTGGGGTGTGGCTGGAGGAGGTGGGGATTGGGGTGTGGCTTTGGGGTGTCTATTTGTATCGGGTGAGTGCATCTCTGTCTGCTTCCTGACCACCTGTGAGCTGCTTCCCTCCACCACACTTCTGAGACCTGAGGAATGGAGCCAGGTTCTATGGACCGAGACCTCTGAAACCGTCAGCCTGCAAATAAACTTTTCCTCCCTTAAAATTGTTCTTGTTGGGGCTTTTAGTTACAGCAGCAAAAACGCTGACTTCAACAGGGTCAGAGGTGACTCTCTTAAGGAGACAGTGGCTTTGTCCTGGGGCCCACATTCTGGCCCAAATTTGGATGTTGGTTTACACTTCCTGGAGACGTCATAGAGGAGGAGTGCTTGCCATCGGCCTGCAGGAATCCCCTCGTCCTGTTCCCATGGTGACTCAGTGGCCTGTGTTTCCTGCTTTTAACATGGATTGCAAATGGACACTAGTTTCTGAAGCTGGTGTTTTCTCACTTTCTTTCTCGGACGTTCCTATGAAGTTAGGGACTTGCCAGTGTGTTTCAGTCACACTCTTGTCTCCTTGATTGGCAAGTTGTTCCAAATGTGGTCTGTGGGCTCTTTCTAACCACCTTCCTTCCAGGAGCTGGAAGGAATCTTAGAATCTTAGGGTCAACCAGGCCAAGCCCCTGCTTATGGATGAGGAAACACTCAGACTGCTAGTGACATTGTAAAGCAGCACTGCCTCTTGACAGTGGAGCAAGGACTAGCATCCAGCCACCCCAAGCCCTGTTAGTGCCTTCTCTGTGACTCGAGAGGCGCCTGCAGGAACCTTGCTCACAAGCCAGGGAGGGAGAGTGACCCACAGTGTGGCAGTCAGACACTGCTGCTTGTGAAAGTCATGTCCAGTTCAGTGGGCAGCCAGGTGAGTGGATTAATTACCCTTAGTTCAGAAGCAGTCTGAGTAGCTGCAGAGAGGCACCGTGCAGTCTGGCATTGGGGGGCCTGGCCCAGGCCTCGGCCTCCTGCAGGCTGGTTTGTGCAGGTGGACTTTGCCTTGAGTCACGTTGTGCTGCAGGTGTGCAGTTCTGGAAAGCTGGAATTCGTTGCCAATATAGGAATATAGTGATCCCATACACGAGTCTGAGTCAGACTCCTACAGGAATGGTGCAAGCAGTGGGCACCTTTGGGCCACCCTCGGCCACCCTGACGTTTGGTTGGAGTGAAGAGCTCTTGATAGGCACACCCTTTCCCACTCACCTGGCTGTGTTCCAGTGTGTGGTGCTTGGGCTGGGATCCGAACCCGCTACCTTCCTGTGGCAGCTTCGAGGTACCTGAGTGAGGGCTGACCCTGGAGGCGATCAGAAGCCAGGAACTTAGAAGCTTTCTCACAAAGAAACCCCACACCGAAGGTGAGCCTGGAGACACAGGCCTGGCTGGATGGCTGGAACGTGGCCCGGCCAGGGTCTTCCTGCTGGGGGTGAGAGCGTGGGCATGTGGCCTTGGGTGCATCCAGGGATGATGGAGGAGGCTGGAGGCTGGACGTTCAGGGTAGCTGGAAGGGGGTTTTCCCCATCAGGAATGGTGACCCATATCAGAGTCTGGGGTGGACCTCTCCTGAGTCCCCGGGAGAGCCTTGACTTCGAGGGCTATCAGCAGCTCATTTGATTCAACTGACAGAAAAAATAGTCACAAGCATGTGGCCAAGTGCCCCATTCTCCTCTCCTGAATGTCACCAGCGAGGCCGATGAGGCTCGTGCTTATGTTAGTCTCTGTGGAAGTGCAGGATCGTGATCTTGATCCTAAGAAAGTGCTGTCAGTATACCAGCACAGTGGGCATAGTCAGAGTGCGTGGGCAGCGGTGCCCAGCCTCAGGCAGAGGCCTCTGTGAGCGTGGGCTTTGTGGGTGTGGGAGCCCCATCTCTAGGTCCCATCTTCAGGTGAGACATGGCTACTTCTAAACCCTTGGGGCCATGTGTCTGTCCCAGAGGTGATGTGAGGCCCTGTTAGCCTGAACTGCAGTGAGGACAGGAGGCCCCTGCCCTCTAAATTCCCTCAGTATCCCGAAAAAAGTAGCCAGCGGTCTCGGCTTCTGGGATATCTGTTTGGGTTCCTTACAAGAATCGCAGTCGTGGTTGAAAACTCCCCTGGTATTTCCAGGTCCTGGGGATCATCGTGCTCCTCCTGTCTGACTCCGGGCTCTCTTTCCTTGGGGCTGGTTTGTTGTTTCTTGATTTCCTTAAGCTTTGCAATGTGCCCTTGCTCATCCTAGGGTACGGGTTTTCTGTTGCTCTTTGGGTCATTCATGTTCCTTGAAGCTCTGTGCTGGTGGATTTTCCCCAGGAGCATGTGGCAGAGGTCCCCTGAGCCTGGGGAAGTGCTCTGTTGGGAGACGGAGGCAGACAAGAGGCTCCGTCTCTTCCCACCCACTCCTTCTGACTCCACAGTCTCTGCTGGCTCCCTGGAGACAATCAGTGTCACCTGTCCATGGGAGTAGGCCTCTGACTACTTGGGGGTCTCACTAGAGTGCATGGCAGAGTGTGGCTTCCGCACCCCACTGTCTGGTCTGGACCCCAAAGCCCAGTGATCTCTGTTTGAAACAAGTCCTGTGATGCTCCTGCCGTGGGTTTGCACACAGCGCACACTTTGAGAAACCGGTTGTAACAAGTGCCTGTGTGACAGTTTGAAGATTGGCAGGCGAAGCTGAACTTTATTTATGAACAGTCGTCCTCTGAGAAAGGCAAGCCTGCTTCTTTCTTGTGCAAAGTAGGGTGGAATTTATGACTTTTATGGAAACCAGGTGGGTTTCTGCCTGGTGGGCCTGTCTCTCACTCAAGTCGGCAAACTGGGAGCTTCTGGTCTCAGGCCCACTTGCCCCGGGCTGTGGACGGCCTGGAGCGGCTCCCACCTCCTCAAATCTGAGTTTGGCAGTTTAACCCTTTTATGTTGGCACCTGTGTGGTGGAGTCTGATTTCTAGGCTAACAAGGAGATTAAGTTGGGCTTTGCATATGTAAATACTTCATGTTTTGTAAATTAGTTAATATTTTAAAATGTCCTAATGCTAGAGTAAAGATTTGAGGAAGAAGACTCCCAGATGATGGAAGGGGGTTGATTTTTGTAACTTGATGATTGAGCTGATCCTTTTCTGTGTGCCTGTTGCTCCTCAGGGTGAGAAGTTTGGGCCCTTTGCTGGGGAGAAGAGGATGCCGGAAGACCTGGATGAGAACATGGACTGCAGGCTGATGTGGGAGGTGCGTAGCAGGGGCCCTCTGTGAACCACGAAATGTGATTATAAGTCCACACGAGTGGGTGCTGATTTTCACTTGAGTATCTAAGTGCATATGCATCTTAGTTTTGACATTTAGTGTTTAATAAAATTAGACTGCTGAGCTATTGGACTCCTAGAGCTCTGGAATGGATAGCTCATCACTGGAGAAGCGGCCTGTGGGGATGTGTGCAAGGGTCAGTCGCCAGGGAGTTTCCCTCTGCTTTGGCAGGCCAGCTGCGCCTGTGGCTGCTCCTTTCTGGGTATGAGAAGGGCCTGAGGAGACGAGCGGGGAGGCAAAGGGGCAGAGACAGCTGCAACAAAAATTCGGAAAACTGGGCCCCAAGAATCATATCTGACGGTTTCTATGAGGAGACAACAGGAGAGGGAATGTGTAGGTAGGAATGTGAGAGGCGGGACCTGGAGTGGAGATCTCCACCTGGAAAGGCTCTCGGGCTGTGGTGTCTGTGCCTGGTCTCCGGAGCAGACCAGGAGCAACCAGGAGGTGTTTTATGTGTGTCATGCAAGATGGTGTCTCCGCAGCTATTGGGTGGCCAGTCTGGAGTCCTGCAGGCAGAGAGGAGTGGAGGCTGCCGTCTTCAGGCAGAAGTGCCTTTGGAGGCCATCGGTTTGGCTCTCAAGCCTGGCTGCTTGGCCCAGAGACACACCCATCGTGGAGGCTGTCTTCCTCTCAGAGTCCACCCACTGTTGCGGTCACTCACACCCTGAAGTCCCTGCGCAGCAAAGGCTGGATTTGCATTAGCTTAGCTGTAGCTTTAGCAGAGTCAACACACAAATCATGAGAGTGTGTGGTCTCTAAGCAAAATACACTCATAACCATCACCTGTGTTGCTGCCCAGGGTCAGGTGGGGGTGCCCAGAGGATTCTGAGAAGGTTCTGTAGTGCGAGTGATGGAGATGGGAATTACTACACTCTCTACCCTGTAATTTAAGTGGGGAATGTTATAGATACTGCTTTAATTTAGCATGCTGTTTTAATAGTTTACTTTTACAAATCTAAAAATACTTTTAATGGCTTTCACTGTTCTTCTGTAAGGTCTTAATTTTCTCAGCAGTTAATTCTCTTGCCCTGAAGGTTTTCAGAAGTCAAATGCTTATGTGACAAAAGATAACCGAACAAGTCTCAAATGATGAAAATGGCGATATTTAACAGGTCGTTGGTGGCTTTTGGTGTCTGCTTTAGGTCTGAAAATCCTGGTGTGGCAGGTTCCTGGTTTGCACAGCTGGTGTCGAGGCAGAGCTCATCAGGTAATGAGGTGACCTTTATTTGGAAGGGAAAGCTTGCAGATGGGAGACGCCAGGCCTCTGCACGGCTGGTGCTGGTGTGGCAGTGGCTGTCAGCTTTGCACCCTGTGTCTGTGGTTCCTCACCATCTCTGCCTGAGGATTGTGTTTTCACATTGGTTTTACCGGTTGGTTTGATCATGTTTGTGTTCAGGGATGTTAAATTCCAGGAATGACCTTTCCACTGTATTTACTTCGTGCTGACACTGTGAGCGAGTGCTGTGTACTTTTTGCACAGTCTGGAAGGCATGGACGGGCACCGGCTGCCCCTCCAAGCCTACTCCCTGCTCTCAGGAGTGCCACAGTGCTGGCCCCTTGTTCAGGTGCCCTCGGGCCCTCCTGCACCTCCTCCCTGGGCTGGCCTTCAGGTCCTTGCTGGCCTCTTGCACAGGTCCCACCCCTTGCCCTCCTGCCGCTCCTCCCTGGGGGTCATCAGCCACCCTCTGCAGCAGCAGCTGTCCTGCAGGGGGGATGGAGACTGCTCTGGTGCTGTGTTCTCTGTGGGAATGTCCAAAGCACTGGGCACCTTGGACAGCTGGGTTTAGTCCGGTCCCTTAGGACGTGCTACTTCTGACAAGCCTGTGAGGACATCGTTCACCACAGTGCAGCTCCAGGTGGGAGGTCAAGCCCCCAGTGCTGTGGCTGTGGATGACGGAGGAGGAGTGGCAACGTGTCTGGAGACCCTGTTGCGGGACAGTGCATGGCGTTGCCCCTTCTGCATCATCCTCGCACTTCGCTTGTGGTGCCAATGGTCTTGGTGGACACGGCCAGGAGCCCCAGTGGTCTTGGTGGACCCAGTCGGGGCCTCCCACAGCGCTGCTCTGATGCGGGCTCCCTTCCTTCCCTGAGAGGCCAGTTCTTACCAAAGAAGCTCCAGGTGGGAGTGGCCTCCTATTGTGAGCCCTGGGGCCATGGCCAGTATCCTGGGGTCAGATCACATCACGGGAGCACTGGGGTGTGTGCCAGCGGCTGCCCCCCTCCCCAGTGCAGCTTGGGGCACGTTGGACCCGCTACAGTAGTTGCTCAGTCTGCTGTCCTGGCCACCAGGATCAGAGCTTGGCGTCTTAGGACTCAGTCTTGTCTACCCTGAGCACTTCTTGGTAGCCTTCCCTCTTGACTTTTTATTTAGAATCAAATGCGTTAGCAGAGGAGTTCTGGGTTTCTCAGCCCGTAGGCCAGCAGTGAAGCTGGAGGTTGGGAGCCAGCACGTGGCCGTCCTGCTGCCACCCATGTCACCAGCACAGCGTGGATGTGCCGGTGCTCTGCTGTGCTCCCAGCTCCCTTCCACCTAAACTCTGCCAGGCGCTTGGGCCTTAAGGTACATTTCTCTCACCCTCTACTCGCTCACACTCACACGCAGGACCAAACTCCACCCGTGTGCCGTTGCCCAAACTCTCCCTGATACTTTGGTTTAAATCTCCAGGTCTTTCACCCTCCACAGAATTTTCCCGGATATTCCAGCCCCAGTTCAGGTGTCCCCTTTTCAGTCACTGGCACGGGCCTCCAAGTCCTGGCCTGGAGGGTGCCAGGGGCCTGCGTGTCTTCCTGCCCCTGTTCCACTTGTCTGAAGTGGGGGCCGGGCGTCCTCTGATGCGGGGCTCCCCTTCCCTCCCAGCGTGGTGCTCTGGCACTTCCTGAAGAGGGGTGGGCAGATGCCAGCCTGGGAGCTCTCCAGACGACATTGACTTTCCACTGGAGCCCCTGCAGTTCCTCTGAGATCACGAAGGTCCCAGCCGGGTCCCCCTCTCTCCCTCCCACTCACAGTGGGTCCTCTTTGCCTCAGTCCTTAAAGGGCTCAGCAGGTGCTGGTGGGTGCTTAGTGTGTGGCTGGCGCCCACAGAGTACTTTCCATGTCCGAGGGAGCTGGTGGCCCCTCCGTGGGCACAGTTCTTACTGGTTAGGCAGCAAAAGGCTCATTGCAGATCCCAGAAAACCACATGAAAACTGAAGGTTCAGGTAAAATGTCCACATTCTGGGTGGATTTTATAGGGAAAACACCTCTCACTTAGATTCAGGTTGATTCCTCGTATTACGTACGTCATGTACAACTTATGTAGATGTTTCTGAAACACCAGGAGCTCCAGGAGAATTCTCATAACAGCTTAGTTTTGCTGTTCCTGAGGCCACTGCTCTTGTACCGGTTCCAGAGGAGCACAGTGTGGGACGCGAGGCTGTGGGAGCACCACTTTTTCCTGCGTGAGCCTGACATGGGCATTTGTAAGGTTCACATTTGCTGGTTTTCCTAAATCTAACCCCTGGAGACTCAAGGAGGAAAACCACTTTTTAAGTCTGAGGCAGTGGAATTATCAGGGCCACCAGTCTCCATGGTCTAACAGATAGCTGCATATTATAAAGAGTAGCCTGTCAAATGGTCTCAGTTTCATTTGTTTCTGTTAGCAGAAAAGAATTTGTACTTGTGGATGAATAATGTGTTTTCAAAACCTAACTATCAAATACCTAATTATGAGATTTCCAGGTGTTGTTATGTGAATTATCAATCTCCTGCAGTTACAGTAGATTATTATTTCAGAAGGCTTCCACATGCCAGGTGAGCAGGCCCTGTCTGTAGCTGATGAGTTTTGGAATCCCTTGGTGTCAGTTAAAATGCACTCAGCTGGTTCCTGCAAGTCCTTCCCAGCCCTGGTCCCTGCTGCACTTTCCCACTGGTGACAGTCCCTGATTAGTGACCCTCTCTCTCAGTGGCTCATCCCATGAAGAACAGATAGGACACAGATGGAGAGGAAGGCATCCACTTTTCATGGCTATACAAAGACTCTTAATACATGGCTCCAGAAAAGCTGGGCAGGAGTCTGTGACAGACCCAGGTCAGCGTGCGGACCTCTCTGCTTCTTCAGTCTTGGTCTCTCTGCCACCTGTGGTGGTCCCCAGAATGGGTTTTGAATATGTCGACCCGTCTGCATGGGGAATTACGGCAGAGTGCCTGGATCAGAGGGTGGCAGGGAGCCTGGAGAGAGGCCACCTGGCAGAACGGACCTGCTCCCAGGCTAGGGCTGTGTCCCAGGGGCTGATGACTAGCGACCACAAGAAGTGCCTGGCCCAAGGACTGTCAGGGTCTCAGCACCAAGCTGAAGGAGGAGCCATGAAGAGGGACTGAGGCATATGTATTCTAGTTTATTCCTTTCCTGGGATGAAGCAAGGCAGCATGAAGGGGCACGGTGGTCAATGAGAACTCCTAGTCAGAGTCCTTTTCTTATTCTTAACAAAGGATGAACTTGTTTGAAATTCCTCATTAAACAAACAAAGACAGAGCCCAACCCAACCGAGCAAACAAAACCCAGGGTGGGAAGCAGCAGCAGGAGGAGGAAGGCTGAATTGAGAATCCACAGGGTTTTTTTTCCTGGGGTCCTAGTCAGCCTTTCACGGAGTCTGAGAGGCTGGACATCTGAGCTCAGCCTGTGTGAAGGGTCAGCACTGGAGGGAGGAGAAACAGGACAGCTGTGGAGATCTTGTAGGGCTGCACCAAGGACCTAGACACATTGCTGGCTCCTCCTCAAGGCGTTTGTAGAATTACCTGGCAGAGGCTGGGAGTTCAAGCCGTGCTCTTCTGAGAGGCAAATGTTCTACTCTCTCTCTCTCTCTTTTCGTACTGGGGATTGAACCCTGGGGCACTCTCTGAACCCTCTGCCACTGAGCCACATCACCAGCCCTATGTTTTGTATTTT